TGGACAGGGCTTGGAGCAACCTGGGCTGGTGGAAGGTGTCCCTGCCCGTGGCAGGGGGTGGCACTGGATGGGCTTTGAGGTCCCTCCCAACCCAAACCATTCCCTGATTCTGTGATTCTCACGGTGTAAGGGGATCACTGCACAGACAAGAACAAGTCAAGTGCAGAAGGAAAACCTCCCTCCCTCCTGGGACAGCAGTGAAGGTGTTGCCCAGCAAGGCTGGTCCTTGGAGGTTCCAGGATACACCTGGAGAGAGCCCTGAGCAGCCAGGAGTGATGCTGGAGCTGGCCCTGCTTGGAGCCTCCTCCTTGTCCTTGTCTTCCTGAGTGTTTGGGTTCTCCAGGCTGCTGCTTCTCCCTGTTTCCCAGCTCCCCTCTCCCTCCAGCTGTTCCCCCCCTTCTCCTCTGCCTTTCTTTGCTTCTGCCACCCCCCATTCCCCAGCCCTTGGCTCCTTCCCCTTTGCTTGGCTGCTCTCCCTCCCTCCCCTGGCTTTGTCTGTCCCTCCTCCACACTGTGCCTGTCCCTTGGCCCTGCTCCAGCCTGGGCAGGTCCCTCCTCCCCTCTGGGCCTGCAGGAAGTGGCTCCTCTGTTGTGGAGACACAACACCCTTCGCTCTTGGCTTCCCTGTCGCCTCCTGAGCAGGTGCTGGGGTGTGACTGTGGTCTGTGCACACCCAGGAGCTCGTGGGGTGGCAGAGTTTGGGTGGACACCCCCCCCCAACAGCAGCCACACCTTGAGCAGAGGCTTCTGGCCTCTCCCACGCGGTGAAATGCGTTTCAGAGTTGGCAGAACTCGAGGTTTGCGAGTGGGGCTGAAGGGGTTTTGTGTCCAGCTGTCTCCTGGAAGGTGTCACTGAGGTGACCTCAGTGTTTTCCAAGTTAACAGGGGGCAGATGGTCAGGGAAGATGTGTTCTGGGTTGTGAGGACAGGCAGATGTGGGATGCAGGTAATTGGAATAGATGAGCTGCTGTAATGCTGTAAGTTGGGGGGCCTTGGGGAAGAGTTTAGAAAATGTGTCCTGTGAGGAGCAGCTGAGGGAGCTGGGGGGGTTTATCTGGAGAAGAGGAGGCTCAGGGGGGACCTCATTGCTCTCTGAACTCCCTGACAGGAGGGGACAGGGAGGGGGGTCGGGCTCTGCTGCCACATCCCGAGGGAAAGGAGGAGAGGAAATAACCTCAAATTGCCCCAGGGCAGGTTCAGGTTGGAGATTAGAAACAATTTTTCCCTGCAGGAGTGGTCAGGCCTTGGAATAAGTGTCCCAGGGAGGTGGTGGAGTCCCTGTGTCTGGGAGTGTCCCAGAGGTGTCTGGATGTGACCCTTGGGGACATGGATTGGGGGTGACTGTGGTGGTGCTGGGGTGGGACTGGGTGATCCTGGAGGGCTCTGCCAGCCTTGATTCTGGGACCTTAATTTATGGCTTCATGGGCCTGGGTGGGGTTTGTTGTTTTGTGCTGGACTTGGTACTTTGGTGCTTTCAGCATTATGTTCTGCATGGAATGAATGAAAACAGGGAGTTCAATTCATAGAAACAGAGAATCCCAGACTGGTTTGGCTTGGAAGGGACCTTAAGTATTATCCCATTCCACCCCCTGCCATGGACAGGGACACCTTCCACCTGCCCAGGTTGCTCCAAGCCCCGTCCAACCTGGCCTTGGACACTTCCAGGGATCCAGGGGCAGTCACAGCTTCTCTGGGCAACCTGGGCCAGGGGCTCCCCACTGAATTGTGTCAGTGCCAGTGCAGCTGGAAACGAGGTGAGGAGGAGGAGGAGGAGGAGAAATGGTTTTGCCTGAGAAGCAGTGAAAATGTGGTGTGTGGTGATAGTGCTGCAGATGTGAGACACGATGACAGCAGTGAAATTATGACACATGGTGAGGGAATTTGGAGACCAAAATTTGGTCACTCTGTGCTCAAACGTTTCAATAATTATTTTCATTCTTCTTCTTACTTTAGAACCTTCTCCCCATTTACCGGCTCCAGAGGATGTGGAGATTTATTCCTATAACTTCCAGAGTTTGCTGAGATGGTCTCCTGTTCCAGTGGAGACAGGCTCAGTGTTATACACAGTCCAGTATAAAACGTGAGTAAACAGTTCTAAAAGCAGCTCATTTTGTCCTAATTCAGTAACAATTGGTTTTAAAAACCTGAAAAGTGTAAATATGAATAAGCACAGAAACAAAAGCATGTTTTTTTATCACAGATGCTTTTGTGTATCTCCAAAAGCAGCATCTGAGAGGCTGTGATATGTCCACTCAGCTGAGGAAAGATTGGAGACATGAAGAGCAGCCAGAAATGTTGGCCAGTTCCCTGCAGAATTTTAGTCTGATTCTCTCTGGTTAATTTTAATTTTCCCATTTAAATTTAACTTCCCCCGGGGAGATGGAGGTGCTGAGAGGGCCCTGGGGTTGTGCCCAGGTGAGAGCCACGGGTTTGTGACGCGTTATCTCCTTACCAGAACCGTCTGGGTGGGAGGGATTGTGTTGTGGGTGCTTGCACTGTTCTGCTGTGTTTATTTGTGCTTTTCTGGCAAAGCAGAGGGGCCTTTCCTGTGTGGAATGAGATGAACTGTACCCGGATCCCCCAGACCCAGTGTGGGTTCCCCGTGGAGGTTCAGAAGCGGCGCTGGACGATCTTCCTGCGCGTGAGGGCTGAGCTGGGGCAGCTCTCCTCAAACTGGGTGCAGGCAGGGCCCTTCGTGGCTGAGAGGGACAGTAAGTGCTGCCTTTGTCTCTGTCTCTCTCCCTCTCTCCAAGGAGATTTCTTTGAGAAAACTGTTCTTTGTTTATGGTTCTGTTGTGCAGAGTCAAGGTGAGAGGGTTGGAGGTGTTTGCCCACAAAGACAACAAGGTCTCGCCGGGGTTTGACACCCCCTGGTTCTGCTGTGGTGGGTCAGGGCTGGCTCAGCAGGTGTCACGAGAGAAACGTGGGTTTCCTGGGGTGGTTGAGCCTTCCCAGAGCCACAATGTTCCTTTGTTGGGGAGTTTTCCACTTTCTCATTTCCCCCCTGGGCACTGCCCACGTGAACCCCTTGGATTTGGGGCGGTTTGAGGCAAACCCACCTGCTTCTGCTGAACAGATCCCTGTCCTGATAAATATCAATGGTCTGAGAAATGTGAACTGTCCTCATAAATATGAATAGTCCTGACAGATATAAATAGTCCTGACAAATATAAATTGTCCTGACTGCAGCATAGAAGTGTCAAGGACGCTTTTTAAATTATAGAATCCCAGACTGCTTTGGGTTGAGAGGGACCTTAAAGCTCATCCAGTGCCACCCCCTGCCATGGGCAGGGACACCTTCCACCAGACCCTGCCAGGGGTGATTTTGCTGTTAATAAGTACCACAGGCAGTACTTTATTTGTATTTTTTATGATTTAGACCTCAAGAGTATTTCACAGAAGGAAATCATCATGTTTACCCTGAAGGTCAGATGGAGACATCAAAGCAAGGAGGGGGAAAGCAGTTATTTCTCTTCCAGTCTATTGACTCTGTGGTTTTTAGGGAACGTGGAATTTGTGGCAGGCTGATCAAAGGAAAAAAAATGGCCAGTAACTGCAGATGAACTTGGGTATTTTCTAGTTAATGTTTACTGAATTACTGGTTAGGTAAATGTTGTAAATGTATTAAGTACATGAGGAAGTGTTTTCCCTTTCTTGAGGAAAAAGCTGCTGAAATTTATTATGTGTGCAGGGAAGGGAGCGGAGCTGGGAAGGGGCTGGAGCAGCAGGAGGGGCTGAGGGAGCTGGGGGGGCTCAGGCTGGAGCAAAGGAGGCTCAGGGGGGACCTTCTGGCTCTGCAACCCCCTGACAGGAGGGGGGAGCCGGGGGGGGTCGGGCTCTGCTCCCAGGGAACAAGGGACAGGAGGAGAGGGAACGGCCTCAGGCTGTGCCAGGGGAGGCTCAGGTTGGCCAGGAGGAGGAATTTCCTGCTGGAAAGGGTGGTGAGGCCTTGGCAGGGGCTGCCCAGGGAGGTTTGGAGTGCCCAGCCCTGGAGGTGTCCCAGGAAGGCCTGGCCGTGGCACTCAGTGCTCTGGGCTGGGGGACAAGGTGGGGATGGGGCACAGGGGGGATCCATGGGCTGGGAGGGCTTTTCCAATCCCTGTTTTCTGTTGTGCTGGAGCCAGTCCATGAGCTGTTGTGCATCCCAGGGGTTCAGTGCTCTCTCTGTGTTTGTTCCCAGCCACTCTGGGCCCCCCCAGGGTGAACACAGTGAGTGCCAGCTCTGACTCGCTGCTCCTCAGTGTCACCCCCCCTTTCACGCCTGAATCCGGGGACAGTTTCCAGTATCGTGTGTTCTACTGGGAGAACACAACAAGGACCACGAGAAAGGTGAGAATTCTCTCTTATTTCCTTTGTTCCTGGTGCCTTGCAGACTGGGATGTGAGTCAGGGGCTCTTGGCAAAACGACAACTGGAGGAAGAAAACGATTGTGTTTTGTCTCTACCCGTGAATGTCACCACGGGGAGTCCTGGGAGGTTTATTTGGCCTTGACACAAGTACTGCTGCATTCCCAAACTTAAAAACCCCTCTTCCTCTCCTCCCTATGGAACAGAGGCTGAATCCCATTGCGGATCAGGGTAGAGAATCTGTGTCAAAGTTGACTTTTGGTTCTGGGGTTTGCTCAGGGAATGTGGAAAACTGGAATCTCCTTCCTCCTTTCCCGTGCTGGGAGCTGCAGGAGCAGCTGCTGGGGCCCGATGTGCCTGTTCCCAGGGCAGAGAAGGTTGTTGGGAACATGCTGGGATGAACTGGGAAGAGCTGGCCCTGTTCATCCTGAGACTTGGTGTTGGACCTGTCCTGTGCTCCTGCTGCTGCCTGGGGCCTTGGGAATTGTGTTGTGCACAGGCCAGTGTTGCAGGGGAGGTGTTGAATTAAAAAAAAAAAAGGAGGAAGAAGCTTCCAAATGACATAATTCTAAAGTCAAATATTTAAAAAACAGAAGCAGAAAAATATTAATTTATTTAAGAAAAATATTAACAGTTAAAAAACCCTTTCGCTTCAGAGGCCTTAATGAGTCACCTCCCTTTCCTTCCTGTCTTGCACCAAATGTGTGCTGATGAGTGTTTTTCTGACACTCACACAATACCTTCATTTGAGAGGCAGGAAAGAAATGGGGAAGGCTCCACTCAGGGTTTAATTTTTCCCTGCCCTCCCCCTATATTTTGCTCTTTGCCTGAGCTGCTGCATCAAAACATCCAGGGAAGCTGGAATGTATTTCACTGCCTCTCTTGTGTGGGAAAGCTGAGTGATGGAAAAAAAAAATAAATCTGGGGTTTTTGAACGGGAAACTTAAATGGGGGAGGGATATTTGTGTTGGGAACAAGGCTGGTTTTACAGTAACACCTTTTTTTTGTGTGTTTTAAACAGGAACAAGAGACACACAATACACTATTCCAAATTGCAAAACTAAAGGAATCAACACTTTATTGCTTTAGCCTTCGAGTAGAATTCCAGGGAGTCTATGGTGAACTGTTGGGACAGCAAAGTGCCCCAGAGTGTCACAGAACTGCCATCAGTGGTATGTGGGGTTGGGGCAGTTTTGTGTAGAGTGGGATGAGGTAGAACATGAGTCCTGGATCACCTGAACTGGTCCCTTCCATACCCAGTTTGTTGGGAATGCTGAGGGCACCACGGAGTTCACAACTGTCATTGAGGGCAAAATAATCAGGAATCATCAGGCAGTAATTGAGGGGCTGTGTTGGGCTTTTCCCCTTGTCCTTTTCCTTCACAAATCCTGCTGGAATACGGGATAACGGAGTTTGGCCCCCTCTGGAATCTGAAGTTGATCCCAGGGCTAGAGCCCCTCTGCTCTGGAGCCAGGCTGGGAGAGCTGGGGGGGTTCACCTGGAGCAGGGAAGGATCCAGGGAGGCCTCAGAGCCCCTTGCAGGGCCTAAAGGGGCTCCAGGAGAGCTGGAGAGGGACTGGGGACAAGGGATGGAGGGACAGGACACAGGGAATGGCTTCCCACTGCCAGAGGGCAGGGATAGATGGGATACTGGGAAGGAATTCCTGGCTGGGAGGGTGGGGAGGCCCTGGCCCAGGTTGCCCAGAGAAGCTGTGGCTGCCCCTGGATCCCTGGAAGTGTCCCAGGCCAGGTTAGAGGGGGCTTGGAGCAACCTGGGCTGGTGGAAGGTGTCCCTGCCCATGGCAGGGGGTGAGATCAGATGATCCTTAAGGTCCCTCCCAACCCAAACCATTCCATGATTCCATAAATATGAACCTGCTGTAGGTATATGGATTTTTTTTTCTGCTTTTCCAGAGGCAACCAGAGCTGGATACATCACCCTGCTGTGTCTCTCGGGGTTAGTCCTTATCAATCTGGCTACAGCTGGTTTGCTGCTCCTGTGGAAGCACCACAAGAAAATCAAACAGTCCTTTCAGCCACCTTTGAAAATCCCCTCACACTTCGAAGAGGTACGTGCAGAGGTTTTGTGTTTCTCCTGCAAAAGAGGGAAGAGGAACCAGGGCAGTTGTTGCCCAACAGGAATAAACCACTGTTGTCTCAGGGTGACTTGTCTGATGCTGATCTCCCACCTCATTCCTCTGTTGCTGAGCTGGATGATATTTTACTGTGTGCTGAGACACAAACTCTGCTGGGCTTTCCTGTAAAACCCCGAGGATGACTCTGACCCAGGTTCCTGTTCCCCTTTTTTGGCTTGTCTCGGCCCTCAGGCCCCAAACTGGGGCTCTCTTGGAGCTTTTCCTCTGTTTCCTGTAGTGGGGGGTTGACCTTGGCTGCGGCAACTCCACGGGCAGCTTTCCTGGGTGACCCCTTCTTAACACTTCCCTTCCCTCTTAATTCATGTGCTGGGGCTCCTTCCCTCTTAATTCCTGTGCTCAGGCATCCAGCACCCTCAGAGGTGGGTTCCCCATCCCACTTCTTCCTGTCTTCCCCCTGGTCACACAGAAAGAACCAGAGTTCCCCACGTGGCCTGAGCTCGGGGCTTCCTTTCCCTCTGCCCGGGGCAGGAGGGGTCAGATCTCTTGGGCTGCCCTGGGAAATGAGGTGCTGGCCCGTGGGAGTGAGGAGGTGCCCAGAGTTTCTCCTGCATTTTGAAGCCAGGAGGACATCACCTCTACAGTTTCTGGATCCATCTTTGGGTAATACACTGTTACCAGGCTGTGAGAATATGACACAGGGGTGCTTTGAACCTCCTTCCTCCACATGGCCACCGTGCAAGGAACATCCTCTGGCTCTTTGGGGGTGTCACCCCTTCTTAAGTTACTACAGATGAATTCCAGCACTGCTGATTCTCTCAAGCACTGGATACCTTCATCTGCAGTGGC